ATACTTTTTAATATATCAAAGTATCATCTGCTTGATCGCTATTGTATCATAAATGCATGATTAATAAGAATATTTATTTTTTAAATAAAAAATTTTAATTAAAATAACTGAATGAAATTTGTTGTAATTAAATTAGTTATTTTATAAAATAAAATGTATTTATAGATTTGCATGATATTATAAAAAGATCATCTAGAAAGTAAGGGCCATACTTGAATCAATTTATCTTCTATCCACTTTAAGTTACTTAAAATGCAATTTAATATTTTATACAATAATCATAAAAATTTTGTCCTTACTTTCCAAATAATGCATGACAATATAGTTTTCTTTGTGAATTTAATTTCTTTCGATAAAATAAAATATAGCTTTGAATTTTCTATCATTTGAAAAATATATATAAATATATTATTTTTAGATATAAAGATGGACACAACGTAGGCAATCCGGAATTTACACCTCCAGCTCCAACTCGATTGCAATGGGATTTAAATGCCAAATGTATTCAAGTAATTGAACAATCCTATCAGGTAATAACTAGTCTCACGTCCTATTTAAATTTAGTACATTTAACAAATATCACGATTATGTAACAATTGATTTTTAATTCTCTCTCAAAAGGTAGCACACAGTATATTGAATGACGTTGAATTACGTGTTTATGTGCACGATGCTTATGGTAAAGGTTTGATGAAAACTCATTCCATATCACCAGATGCCTATATACAAATGGCGTTGCAATTGGCTTACTATCGCGATGCTGGCAAGTTTAATTTAACTTATGAAGCTTCCATGACAAGGTTGTTCCGAGAAGGTAGAACAGAAACAGTCAGACCTTGCACTATTGAATCTTCAAAGTGGGTAAAAGCAATGGAGGATGAAGCAATAACGGTAAAAATAAAATAATAAATAAAAAGTACACCAATTTGTTTCTCCGTGTATTTCTAATCGATTTTTCTTCCAATATAGGTAACGGAAAAAGTAAAGTTGCTAATGGATGCAGCAACACGACATCAACAAAGTTATCAAGATGCTATGTGTGGTAAAGGAATAGATAGGCACCTGTTCTGTTTATATGTTGTATCGAAGTACTTAGAAGTAGATTCACCATTTTTGAAGGTAATTGTTTTACGAGTTATAAATATGATCTATATAATTGGTTAAATATGATCTCATTAAACGTGATAAATGATTCTATTGTAGGAAGTTCTAAGCGAGCCATGGAGGTTGTCGACATCGCAAACTCCACACGGCCAAACTTCGAGACTAGATTTGAAAACTTATCCTAAATGCATTTCAGCTGGTGGTGGATTTGGTCCTGTGGCCGATGATGGCTATGGAGTTTCTTATATAATTGCGGGAGAAGATCTTATATTTTTCCATGTTTCTAGTAAACGATCTTCGTCAAAAACGGTAAAATAATTAATATTTTCGATTTCGTTATTATAACCGTCTTTTACATTTATTATTTTTTAAATACTTGTTATTATCTCGATTATATATATTTCATAGATTTATAGTATATAGTCGTTTATATTGTAATAATGTAATGTAATATCTTCTAACAAAATAATTTCAATATCTATAGGATGCCGCCAAATTTGCAAAACAAATTGAAAAAGCACTTGCCGATATGAAAGATTTGCTAGAACGAAAAAAGAAAATACATCAGAACGGATCAGCGTAACTTATTCATTACCTGTAGCGCGGTTGAGCAAAATTATTATAAGCTATGTAATGAAACGAGGTCTATAACTCCAAATAATTTTTCTTGGCTTATGGAGGAATTTAATAACATAAACATAATTTAATGCTTAAAATATAACTCTCTTAAGGCAAAGATTTTTTCATAGGCAATTATTTTTCATAGATAAAGGTTATAGCAAAAAATAACGGGCCCAAAATTCAAGACCATGTTGTAGACATTACACATATAGAATTTTTATAGGATCATTTCACATTTGTCATATATATCATTATCTATCATATATGTTATATTATCTATCATATCTGTCATATATGTCATTATATATCATTATCTATCATAAATATAATTTTTGTTATTAAATAATCATTTTTATAAATGACAATTTATGCGTGATTTATTAATATTATAATATTGCACAGCAGAAATATGCAAAAGTACAAGTACCAAATTTCTATTGCTTGCTGTATATAATCGCAAATTTAAGAAATATTTGACATCACATGAGAAGAACATAAAAATTGATAATAAATCTCATTACTTATTAAACTTGTTAAAAATTTCACACATATGTTACAAAAAGATATGTTATCAAAGTTAAAAATTTTACATATTGTGACAACTAAATTTTGAAAAATTTACCAAAAGTACACAATATCATATCATTATATATTTACTATAAATGTAGACACAGTTTAATTTCATTGTGCATATGTATATCTTATTATAATTATTATATCCCATCATAATTTAACATCAAGAAGTGATTTGTATGCAATGCAATTTACGCATATAAGAAATTATTTTTTTCTCTATAAATATACACGAATGATAGAAAAGTATTGCTTGTATCTTAATCTGAAGGGACATCTCGATCTATATTAGAATCTCATTAATATCTGGTGAGATAGAGATGTGTAACTACAAATATGTGATTACTGATTTCTTTTTTAAGCAAACATCTAAGCGATGCCATATATAATATGTGCAACTTATCAATGCAAAATGTTTTAACTATAAGTAATTACCAATTATAAGCAATTTTATACTTAGAAGAGGAGCGTACGATTATATTATCCTACAATGTATATTTGTTACAGATATTTAAAGATATCGGTGCTTTTCAATCTTGTTATTATTCAGTGGTGTTATAATTAAACATTATTGAAATATTTAAGTGCTAGAAATGTGAAATGCAAGATGATGAAATAGAATGTGAAATGCAAGATGATGAAATAGAAATATCTATAACATTTTTGTATACTTAATTTCATCTTTATGTATTACATTAAAGTTCTGATAATGATTGTAAAGATTAGGTATAAAATTTTATAATAAATTTCGTCTGTTAGGTTTGTAAAATATAAAATCCATTATAACTAGAATTTTTATGGAAGTTATAATTAAAAATTTGCACAAGGCAGCTTGAAAGATCTAAAGTATGTTTATCAATCAAGGATAAATATGTAAAATATTTAAATATTGGCAGGAAGGAAAATTGCAGAGTATTCGAAATATTTTTGTACAATATTGGTAGTCGATCAGTAATTCATTTTATACCGTTTATTGGTATACTTATATAAGATTCTTTTTTATTCTATAAATATATAATATTTGATTATAACATGAATGTACTATCATAGAATAAATAAAAGCAACTACAATCGTTTACTTTAGTAACAATATTAAAACGCCTTTACACATCTCTTTTCCTCTTTCTCTCTTAACAAGAAATGAGAAATTGTTAAAAATATATACCAAAAACATATAAATACATATGCGAAAAACAGTGCTACATTACGACTTTTTAACAGTGTCTTTAAGTGGTTGAACTTTTACTTTTTCTTGCTTCAGAGATCGTTGCTTGTTTGATATTACTGCATTTCGTAATGTTGAATGGAGGAATCTTTTGTTAATGGTTTCTTTAGGTTTCACCCATCCACTGGGACCCATTATTTCGGCCCTTCGTGCACCAAGTCTGGCTTCTTCTAGTAAAGCTTCTGCTGCTAGTCTAAATAAATATTTATATTTCGTAATAATTATTACACGATCATCAAAGATAAAGACGATCAAAGATAAAGTTATATTTTTGCAATTCCTTATTTTTCTGTTTATAAATTTTTGCTTATTATATTGTTTATTATTTATATACACAACACTAATAATGTGGACCGGTAATATAACTTTTATACAGTTAAATGACCTCACTTATTCGTTATTTCAAAAGTCTAATTCTTTAGAAAAATTAAAATACAGTATTGTGTTCATATAAACTTTATATTGCTATCCAAATAAAATTATACCTATTCAACGTTTCGTCATCCATGTTCGTTCTGTCGCAGATTGTCTCAAAATCTCTGAAAGAAACAAGCGAGATTATTGCATAAATATTACCTAATATCCCCACGATTGCACATACGACGTATGTTGATTGATGTCGATTGCGATATAACGAATATAACAATATATGCCTGGCGCATTTACAATCTTTCTAATCAAACAATCCCATAACACCAAGCCATAATTTCACAAAGATTGTCAGGAACAGTTATACAGATTCGCATAAAATCAACACTTCGGTGATATCGGCGATAATATTCACAACAGCTGAAGTTTATATGATGATAAGATCATTTTTTTTACAGTTTATTCACACACAAGGAAATGTTTGAATTATGCTAGTATGTTTCTTTTACAATTTTAAAATGTCATGAACCAATCATAGAGCTGTACTAGCATTTAAAGATATTACTTAAGATAGTTCAATAAAATGTAACTATAACCAACTATAACTGTGAATATCGACCTATGACACTCGAGATTATTAACCGCAGGCGTATGCGATTACACAAGCGATAAATTATCATAATAAATTATTGCTTTCTCATTATGTGACGTAGAAATCGTCGTATGGAAGGTTAGTCGAGCTTGCTAAATCATGCAACGTTAATTATCGCAATTCGTTAAATTGACACTTCGAAATGTAATACCATCAATTTTGTGACGTCGTTTGCAAATTATCTTCTAATAATGGTTCCTAATTAGATCATAGATTAGATCATCACGATTAAAGTCAAGAAAAAATTCGTTCGGTTTGTACAGCAATGCTCGGTCACTTCTCTTCTTTTTTCTTTGAAACTCGAATATATCCTTATTTCACCTTCAAGACATGACGTATTGAACAGCATTGAATAAATTTAACAAATTGAACTGTACTCTGTACTGTCGAGATTCGAGGTGGGCACAGACTTTAGACATATGTAGAAGGGAATTTTGCTCCATTTTGCTCAGAGCAGAGCGACGCGACACGTATAGACGCTACAGACTGCCACAGACTAGGCGTGTGAATAAACAATTATCATCTGGTTATCTTATGGTAGATTCTCGGCGCCGGTCAAAGTGTCATTCTCCTGGTCGTTAGCCTGACAAAGAAAGATGGAAACACCAACGAAAGCGATCGCGGACCTTCGCGAGAAGTTTTTTAAAAGGTTGGAGGAGGAAGGACCGCCCGATTCCAGTATGTACATATTATATGGTTCCTTCTCCGTTTTTCAATGAAATAAGATTTCTAATATCATCACGTTAATTAATATCGTGCAAATTTATGTGCTATAACGAAGCTCATGTAACATGTGCAAAGGTCATACCCAGTCGCGATCATGTATTCAATTAAAAATAATTGGCAGCCCAATGACGTGACAAAGCCATGGATAATTGAAACCCTTGCTCATGTTAATTACTTACAGAACCATAAAATGCGAAAGAAAATTGTAGTTATTTTTTCACTTGGAGTCTATTAATTTCTATCTGCGTCTAAATTTGATTAATAATTAGTTGTAGGAGGTTTTCATGTTGCTGATATAGCCAGAATAAAAAACAATGATGATTGGCTGAAACGATTTTTGGAACATCATGAGTATAACGAACAGGAGGCATTCAACATGCTTTGGGAAACTTGTACTTGGAGAAGAAAATTTGGAACAAATGGTAAAACTTTGCCTGTAAATCTCATGCTTGATAATTTAAATTTTTACTATTCTCTATGAGAAATTAACACAAAACTGATGAAAGTTTTTTTGACAAGTCTATACATGTTTTAATTTGAATAAAATATAAGTTTAATTCTTTTGATAAGTATATAAACCTATAAACATATTTAACAGTAAACAAAAGTATTCAGCATTAAATTATCCATTCATGAAAAGTACTCGATACTAAAAGGACTAAAATTAATAGAATAATATAAAATAAAGTATGTCTTTCTTTCTCTTCTTTCATTTTAAATTGGATTACAGATATCACTGAGGATAATGTGAGAAGAGATTATTTAGAAGATGGCGTAGTCTTTAGCTATAGTAAGGACAAGGATGGCAAAAAACTTTTTGTAATCAAATCAAAATTACATGTTAAAGGAGTAAAAGATTTTCCAGAACTTCAAAGATGTATAGTTTATTGGTTTGAAAGATTAGAAAGGTATCGGTATCTACAACCCATATACCTTTAGGCTAATTCTACAATGTGCTTTTTGTTTCCTGTTTCTTGTTGTTTTTGATCAAGAAGGCAAGAGACAAGCAACAAGAAACAGGAAATAAAAAATACAAGTAGAATTAACCTTATACTCCATAGATGTAATTTTTTATTTATTGTATTTTCAGGGAAGAAAATGGAAATCAAATATCACTTTTCTTTGACATGGTAGAAGCTGGACTTTCTAATATGGACATGGAGCTTATTAAGTATCTCATTGGTTTATTCAAATCTTATTATCCAAATTTTCTAAACTATATCATAGTTTTGGAAATGCCCTGGGTTTTAAATGCAGCTTTTAAAATAATAAAATCATGGTTACCTGCAAAAGCTATTCCAAAAATTAAGTTTGTTAACAAAACCACATTGAAAGATTATGTTAATCCAAATGATGCACTGAAATGTTGGGGAGGTAACAATGATTACACCTTCAAATTCATCTCGGAAGAGCAAACAAATGGAGATGATATATTAAATGGTAAACTGGATAATAAAAAGGTACATATATTACATATATTTTATGAATAATACCAAGATATTACTTCTACTTGATGTATTAAATTCATTATGCTTTTTTGTCATTGTACTGTATTCTTTTTTTTCTGTTATTATTCTTTTGTTAACTATATTGATTTGTTTTCAAAATCATTTCCATACTTCAAATTAGTTATCTTAAAAAAGAAAGTTTAATAAAATGGAATACATAGAAGATGTATATTAAGTTATTCATAATTATGTTAAAATATCTCTATCCAACATATTACTTCTTTAAATATATTGTATATTTTCTAGGTGCATTTTATAGACAATTCACCACTTACGGAGCAAAGTCCAACTAGTATCGGAGATCAGGTTAATGAAGAACAATGTATGTATAAAATTTACATACAATTTGTTACGTTATACTAGAATATAAAAAGCATTTAAATAAATTTTTTACTTTTGCTCCAGTGTTATCTATAGAGCCCACAGACATAATTACGTTTAATAAAGATGGGAACGATATCACTGGGACAATTACACTTAAGAATATTACAACTGACAAATCTTTATCTTACAAGGTACATAGACGTTATTTGATTATTATAGTTATTTGATTATTATAACAATGTAACTGCTGGAATAAATTAGAAATGTAGCTTAACATAAATGTGGTGATTTTGTAGATAAAGACAACATCGCCTGAGAAATTTAGAGTACGGCCAAGTTCAGGAATTCTACAACCATCTGAACAAAGAACTGTTATGGTTGTACTACAATCTGGTTATAATGTACGTGGCCTATTACATAGCGATCGATTTCTAGTCATGTGCTTCCCATTAAAAAATACAAACACTGCTACAATGCAAGAACTGAATTTACTTTGGAAGGTAAATTAATTTTACATTGATTTAATATATTTTTCTTTATATTAATCAAAATATATCAGTAACTTCAAATTTAAAATATTAAATTAGGTAAGATCATTCACATACTAATATTTTCTTTGTAGTCTGAAAAAGCAACAGAAATGCATAAACTACGATGTTGCGATGGTGCTATTGAAAATAGTGAGATACAAAAATCTCATTCGATGCTAACTTCTGCAGCAGCAGGAAATGATCATATTGATGCATTTTCTTCTAAGGTATGTGATGTAATATTGCGTCTTATTTTCTAAGTATGTATATACATATATATATTAAAATAAACCTTTTACTAATACTTTATAATAATTTCAGATAAATCATTTAGAAAAGCACAATAACAACATACACAGTGAAATCGTTATTGTAAAGTATATGCTTTTAATTTCGATAACATTGACCATTCTAATGGCAATATTCTTTGGTTATGTTTTACAAGTGGATATTAAAAATTTGATTGATCAACAAAAATCCTGCCGGATCCCTCGTGATATTTAAAACATATTTTAAAACACGTTTTTGTAATATTAACAACTTCGATATACTAGAAAAATATTTAAAAAATCTTTAAATTGAATATCTACAATCATGTAAAAATAAGAAATATCTTATATTACAATATTTAACATGTTAAAGTTTTATACGTTTTCTGTTCTTCCAAACAAAGATCTATAAATGTTTATTTGTGATTTTTCGAAATTAATTTTATATCTTGTTAATTTTTTTGTATACACACACATATATATATATATATATATACATATGTAATTGTCATCTAATAAGTTACCATATGTGGTGTTTTGTAATACAAGGCATGAAGAAGTACAGTATAACTATATGTAAAACTATATTAAAACTGCTATTTTTATACATATACATACTCTAAGAAATATCCTTATTGTATTAAACTTGAACATAGATTAGTATATGTATACATGCAATTTGTGTGTATATATATATATATATATGCCAAAATTTATATATATATACAATTCTTATGTATATATATGTGTATATATATATATATATAAAAATAAAAATTTTATTAACTATATATATGTATATACACATAAAAAATATATATATATCATTAATGGTTTTATTTTTTTAATATTGTATTAGTCATGGATTTAATATGGCTTTTTCATGATTTCATAATTAAATTATTTTGAAAAAAAATAAAAAATATAGTTGTGTGAAAGATTTCACTAATCACTCATACCTGCAAAAAGACTTCTATATATTTTATTCCTCTTTCTATAATTTCATTCAGTAATTTCAATCAGTATATTGCAAAACAAACTAGCATCGAGTGCACAAAGCATTTTTGACGCGATACTAATTAGAAATACGAGTAAGTTTCTTGCGAAAAAAAGCAATTATATTCATTTTCACCATATAAATTAACTTTTATATCTCGATTTAATTTATTCTTTTTTTTTAATTCTTAAAATTAGGAAAGGATAAAAAGTTAAACCGAGATTAAAACTAATCTACATTGGTAATAACTATACAAATAAGAAGAATCTATGCATAATGGTAATCAATGGTAATCTGAATTTCGCGCAATTTCCGTTCGTCAAATGGCTTTCAAGATCCACCCAGCAGACTCACACGATGCAAACGCATAGAAAAATCAACCAATCCTGCACAATATAGGCCACGGCACGTAAAACTTAAGACTTAAGCAGTAAGAAAATCAATATTGGATTCGTTACTGCTTACGTTTGGTCTTACGGTCTCTACTATGATTGGTCAATTCGCTTGCTGCTTAAGTCGTACGTCTTAAGTTTACTATGTGTCGTAGTCTTAAGAAGTGAATACGATAGCCAATCGTCTCTTTCTACATTTCTACCACCAGCACCAATTTCTCTCAGCTACCACTTCTATTCGGAAAAAGCGGAAAATTGATTGGTTGCCATGTCAGCTAGCTTATATGCATGAAAAGCGTATAAATGTATCACAAGTAATGTGCGATTTAAATTGGATGCGTAAAAGCTTATTTAATTTTCATTAAAAAAAATATTAAAAAATTGATATATAAAAAACGTAAACAACTAACGATTATGTTTCGCCCGACACAAAGAGCGCAATACACATCTATTCATCCTATTCAACAGATCAGTTTCTTTTTTTTTTTGGAGCGTACATATAAATTCGTTTGAATGGGCCTGAAATAAATGCAACGGGAGAATCTGGAGCATTCGAGACTCACGAAGGGTCGACATCGTACCCTGCAAAGTCTAAAAAATACCAAAAGGATGATCATGGTCGGCGTATAAACACGCGAGCATGACGCGTGACGTGCCTAGTGCGCAGCTGCCAACGCGCAGCACAGCGCAGCATTTGAACCATCGCAGTTCGATCGGCCATATTTGCTCTTATACAACGCCCTCACGCGACGATCGTGGGTTTACGTGTATATTTCGTGCCTTCATATCGACCCGTCGGCCAGAATAGCATCGACAATCGTGTTCTACGTCGACGTTCGGTGAGTTTCCACGATATTCGAGCAAGCGGACTAGTCGCCGAGACGTGCTGGACGATCCCTCGGTTCCTGGTGGCACGCGGCACAACGGTACAACGGCATCCTCGCACGGTGTCCTCCATATTGATGACAGCGCCGACGGTGATAATTTTCTGAAATTTTTGTCGTTAATGCCCCCTGTGTCCTGAAATCGAAAGCACCCATGTTTGCCTTAAAAGCTCCCCGACAGAATGCGCGACCTCGTGAGGCTTCCGCCGTGTGCTTTACGAAAGTCCGCAAGATACGGTGTTCCTCCAGGTACCCGCCCGCGTCACCACGGCGCGTTGCTCACCCGTTCCTTTCTCGCCTCTCTCTCGCTGGCGTTGCCCGTCATGGCGCGCTCGCTCGGCTTCCCTCGCTTGCTTATGGCGTCGTACGTCGACCACCTCCAGCGCCGCTGGCAGCGTTCGATGGCAGCGCATTGCCGCCGTCACCGCGGCGCACATTGCCCTCTTTGATCATCGCACGCGCCGAAACATTCCGAGAAGCGAGCGCCTCGCCGTCGTCGCGGTCGACGCAACAACCCCGACAACCGGGATGTTCGTCTTCGCTCGCCGAACGCCGGTCCCTTGGCGCGGCACCTATTTCTCTTCCCCATCGGATTATCGATTCCTCTTTTCTAATTTGATCACGGCGATGCCCGCCGTCGAAATTGCTACCCGCTTCTATCCTCGGGCGACGCTCCGAGAGGAACGACAGCCCGCATCCTGACCTACAAAGATGTTTTCGGTTTCAATAACGGTCAGGTTTATTTTCCACAAGCTCGCTCGTGTTTTCCTTCCTCGCAATGTAGACTCGCAGCTTTTTAAGCTGACTTTCAGTGACTAATGAAAAGTAGAGATAATTAGGAAATGTTTGTTTGAAAATCTTTTGACTAATCGCTATCTGTTTTGTTGGAATAGGGCGTGTATAAAGAGAAATTCATGAGAAAAATGTGAATTTACATTCGTATATAATACTTATTCAACATGATTTTATGTCTATTTTTAGAATTGTGGTGTAAAAGTGTTGTAGATGTTGATATTAAAGATTATATCTATAGTAGTATAACAGCTCAACACACATAATTTGAGTTATCCGGACTTATATCAATAATGTATATATATGAGCGACATAATATTTCAGACTGATGAACATAACTACCATTGTTTGAGCTATATGCTTCAATCATGAGTAACGTAGCTGCTATAAAATTGGAAGAGGGACAAGAATCTGTCACCGAGATACAAACTTACTTGGAGACATTTAATAAAGAGATAGAGGGTGGACAAGGCGAACTGCAACATGTGCAATGTTAGTATCATATTTGTTTTAATATACATTATCAGTATTAAAAATCTTATTGTATATATAATATGAATTAGAGATTTTAGTACAAGTGCGCGTATGCACATACTCATATACCTTTATACATATACACACATACACCATTATATACAAACTCATACACATATACATGGTGATCTCTTCTAATTTACCATCCCCAAAAATTTTGTTTTTAGAAGAAATGATTTAGAAAGAAGTGGAATTGTTTCAAAGTTGACATTTTTTAGTTAACAGTTTTTGTTCTAAATGAACATATCAAAAAGATATAAAGGTCGCTGTTACTTTTTTAAAATCAATTTATATGATTTTTTTTTAATATGATTGCTTTAATTATTCTGCATATAAAAATATTGAGATAGAAATATAAAAAAACAAAATTTAACGAGATATTTTATATTTTATTATTTCAACATATATTAAAATAGAATACAAAATATTTCGTAAATTATTGGTTCGATGTTTCTACTTTAATACTTTTATGTATGACATAATTAGAGAAAAATCACTATGTAAAAGATTATATAATTCCATTTAAAAAGATGGAGATAATCTGTTATTTTAAATAGAGTTATATAGTTTTATTTAAAGAATCTCTCTTTATTTTTTTTTGGTGCTACCACCAAGGAGAAAAACATCAAACATCATCAAAATTGTTCCACTTTGTTTAAAACATTTTTTCTAAAATATATAAAAAAGTTTTTGGAAGTGATAAATTAAAATGGTAGTAATTTGTATAGGAATGTGGCCTCTGTCCAACTCTTTGCTCTCCAATTACACTTTCACCTCTCTGTTATTTTGCTGAACAAAACAAAAAAAAAGGAACTCTGAGTGATTGACTGCTACTATTCTTTTTTCCTTTCTCTATCTCACTCAATGAAACAGTGGAGAGGTCAAAGCGTTTAGCTCATGAGCAAAGTATTGGAAAAAAAGCTCTATTTTATCTATATATCAATATATCTGTTTTATTTATACATCTGTTCTTTGTATATATTTATTATAGTGCAACAAGTGGAAGGATTATCTGGTGGAGAAGAGGGTGGAACATACTTTGTTGATCAGTCTGGTCAATATTATTACCAGGCAAATAGTGATGAACCACCTGTAATGACACAGGTACAGATACAAGAAGTAGAAGAGACCGATGTACAAAACGAAGGTGATACAACTCAAGATGAACAATATCAAGATATCGAAGAACTTGAAAATGCTGAAGGTGATGAAGATGTAAGTACTGATAAAATTATTATGTTAACAATGGTAATTTATAAAACACAAAAACGCAACTATGAATACAATACAAATATAAAAATAGGGACAGGTCAACGGTGAAAACAATCAAGTTGTAATTAATTCTGGCGATGCATATCAAACTGTCACGATTGTACCATCTGATACAAATCCTGGAGAAGTTAGTTACGTTTTGATAGTTCAACAACCTGAAACCGAAGAGAAAGAAAGTAAAGTTGCAGAAAATGATGCAACGACAGTGGCAACAACAGCAGCTGCTTCACCAACTGAAGGAGAAGAAGCAGAAGGTGAACAAGATCTCACTGTATATGATTTTGAAGACAATGAAGACAATGAAGCTCCAGTTGAATCCGAGGCAGAAGATGACAAGACTAAAATTATTAAGTTCCTCCCAAAG